CTATTTGAACCTTTTACCTCCCGTGAGCACTTGAATTGGTTATGAACTATGTAAAATTTGAAGTGTGGTGTGGTTGGTTTGACTTTTGAGTGGAACTAATGAAATAAGGAGAAAGGTGCAATGTATTGAAAAAGTAAGAGCCACTTGAATTGAAAAACAAAAGAAAAAAAAATAGTTGTATTGTTGTGCAAAATATTCTTTGATAGTGGTGGCTCTTGATGTAATTGTGCTTAAGGAAGTAGGGAGTTAATGTAAATCGATGTGAAGGTGGAGTTATGATTTGACATAAGTGTGGGGTTTAACGGTTAAGTGTATGTATTAAAGTGCTTAGGGAGGTGTAGTCACTTTTATATCCAAATGTATCATATACATTCTGCAGCCTACATTACAACCAAATAAATTCCTACTTGATCTTTGACTGAATGAGCTCAATTAGTAGAGTAGTACACTACGGGCGAGCCTATGGTACGTCTTTTGTGGCATATGAATGTTGTTTCTGAGAGTGAGCGAATCCTTTCTATCTTGAGTTCCTAATTGTACTTAATTTCTATTGTGTGTGGAACTACTCTCTGTTGTGTGTGAGGGCACTTAATTTATAAAGGAAAGATATGTCATTGACCTCTGGGATAGAGTAAGTGAGCGGGTTATAAATAATGCGTGGTGCTTTTGAATCAATTCTTGAGGTTAAGAGGTTATGATATTGTACTTAATATGTTTTAAAGAGTCTTGGTGTGATGAGTTATGAGAGTTGTTGAAAAATGTCGTGTTCTATGTGAAGTGTAGTTTGATTGCTCGAGGACGAGCAATGGTTTAAGTGTGGGGTGTTGATGGTAGGCTATAATTGCGTATTTTGGTCACTTATTGCACTCTAATTCACTGCACTTTATTAGTGTTAGAGCTTTAAATGGTATTGTTTTGCACTGAGTGTGTATTTTATGCCTTGTAGGAGCGATTTCGAGTTATGCAGATGTTGTGGAGCTAATTTGAGCTATTTGGAGCTTTGAAGTCTGAGTAAAAGCCTAAGGGATTAAGTCGGGATCGTGTTCGGGGATCAACGGACGAATAATGCACTTAATGGGAGAAAAAAGAGTTGAGCATGAGCGAAACACAGATGCTCGACCGCGCATGAGAGACCCCCAGCGCGCACTTGAGTGCACAAGTAACGCAGTGTTTTGTCAGAGGTGCGCGGTCACACCTCCAGGTGCGTGGCCGCGCACATCCGCTTCCAAAAACTCTACCCGAGCATATTTTTGTAATTTAGGAGGCGACTCTTTTTTACCTATATAAAGCCTAGCTCGTCTAAAAACAAGGTATCTCGGATTTTTGAGCAACTTTTGAAGAGAAAAAGGCAAGGAAACAACGGAGACGCGAAATACTTGATCCAATTCATTCAATACGGAAGTTTGTTTGATTTTGGGAATTGTAATTTCTTCTTGTTCTTCTAATACTCTTGTGATAAACAACTTCTCCACCATGGAGTAAACGTTCTTAGGGTTATTGACGGATATTGTGATTTGACTATTGTTTTGGGTTTTACTCTCTGCTAATTGCCGAATTCTTTGAATGAGTTATTAATTGAATTGCAAGGGCAATTGTGGTTTTACTTTAATCGAAAGAGACATGTTGCTGCAGTTTGCATTGTGTTATCTTGTTTGGGTTGATTTTACGCCTCTCATAGGTAATCGAAAGAGCATAGAGAGTTATCAATTGGCCTAATTGGGAAGAATAGTCAAGAGACGTTCTTCGAAAGATCATTCATCCACTGTATTTGTGCATATGTTCATTAGACTTGTTATCAGGTTGGTTAACGGAACTCTCATTCATTCGGAAGAAGAATTTGAATTCGTAAGAGAGCCTAATCATCTGTTGAAATCGAACAAGTCAACAGAAGTAAAGAGTGAACTTAGCACGGTATTATCCAGAATAATAGTTGATCACATATCTTGTCACAACCCTTACTTCTCACCTTGATATTCAATCGTCGCTACTTAGTCATTAAATTTTCATTAGTTTCTTACAATCGAAAATCTTAGTTTTATTATTAGGCTATAACATAAATCAAAGGTTTATTTTCTTGGATAGTGAAGATTTATTAAAATATTATTTAAATCAATCCCTGTGGAGATGAATAAAATACTATACTATCTTTGATTAGCGAGCCTAAGTTGCATACACTAGTTTTGCGCTCGTCAATCATATGGCTAGTTTTTATACAGTTGACAAAATCATTGAGCAGCTATAAAGGGTAAATATCAAATTAGTTACTGAGTTAAAAATAAATGCCAAATTATCTGTACATTTGCTCACAAAGAAAGCAACAAATTCTCATAAGATTCTTGTGATAATGAAGGAAAATCAAATATTCCTAATTTTTGTTCCTTAACAATGGATTCTTATATAGAAGTCACGAGTTTCTTTTGCATACATCGGATAGGAGATAAAAGAAGAAAAACAGAATTAGTAAAAATAATCTCATAGAAATACATATGTAGACACTGCAATACACCCTGAAAATAATCTCAATTGAATAACGTAAAGATATCCTGGGTGCTTCGTGGAGTTTTCAGTTCTGCCCCTCACGCAAGGGCGGCCCTTCCATAAGGGGTTTTGACACAGTTACCCACAAAGACAAAACTATTTACCCTTGTCTATCTATTTATTTTTCTACCCATAAACTAATTACATTTCCTACCCATAGTAGGTTTTGTGGGAAATTTTCTCTTTATTCTCCAATTCTTTTTTATTTCTATGCTTCTTTTCTTTTCTTTTCTTTTTCTTTTCTCCTTTTCTTTTTTCTCGTTTTCTTCTTATTTTTTTCTTTTTTCCTATTCTAATTTCATTTAACTTCTTTTTTTTTATTTTCTTTTTCTCTTCATAATCTGTTTCATTTCCTATTTTCACTATTTTTTATTATTCTTTTTTTTTAATATTATTACTAAAGAAAAATCAAATTGTGTACCAATTAAATGTAGCTAATACAACCAAATAAATACTAACTAACATTTGATACCAGTAAAGTATATAGTTATACCAACAGGGTATACAATTGTACGCAAAGAGTTAAAAAAAGTTTAATTCAATTATTAAACTGAAATAATAGTTGTCAATAAAAATTTCAAAAAATTCTAAAAGGATCTAATTGTAAGAGTATACCGTTACATTATATAACATACTATAATATTTTATTTTTTTTTTGCATTTTCTATTTGCCTCTCACGCTGGGTAAAAGCTTAAAGCAAATAAAAAGGGAAAAGACAAGTGAATTTACGGGTAATAAGTATACTATTATAATATATTGTATGCTATTACAACATATTGTTACAGTATATTGCATATTATTACAGTATACTATAACAATATATTGTATACTATAATAGTATACTGTTGCAGTATAGCTATATACTCCTACAGCATATTGTATACCGTAGCGGTATACTGTAGCTGTGTTCTTCTTCAATTTTCAACTGAAAATTTCGATCTCAATCACCTCAAATCAACTCCAAATGCTATCAAATTCCAGTATGAACTTCCAGAAGGTACTATAAGCAATATTTAATAGCACCCACTTTGAATCAAACAAAAAATCTTCAAAAATAAAATTGAGCTTCAAGCCCAACAATGGTGGATATTAAAGGTGATGGCAAGATGAAAGTCTTTATATAGGAAAAAATACGATGTTTACCTTCCAAACTTTATACAAGGATCTGGTGAAGCCCAACAATCTTCAAGACTTGCATCTGGTGATGGCCTTACAAGGATTATTTTTTATATAGGAAGGAAAAAGTTTGGAAGGAAAAGTTTGGAAGGAAAAAGTTTGCACCTGGGCTTCACCAGATCCTTGTATAAAGTTTGGAAGGAAAAAATACGATGGGTATAAAGTGAGGAAGGTAAAATGAGGAGGAAGAAGAAGAAATGCGGGTAAATAGTTTGGGGAGCATAGGTAGCAGTAATAAATAGTTTGGGTCTGGGCATTAAAAGGTAAATAGTTTGAAATTAACGGGTATAAAGTGAGATTTTCTCGTATAAAGCAAGTAAAGCAATCGCTTTAGGCCCCATATTTGTGGGGGCCTCATTTTTTGTTACACTTAATAGACTATGTATAAGTTTAAAAAGAGTTCTGTAAAGTGAAAAAAATTAAATTTTTTTCTAACAAATATAGAGAAGAAGGATTTGCAACTGCTATGATTTCTACCAAGAAAATTGTACTTGAAATGAATATCGAACCTAAATTTTGTAAGAAACGTGTGATATATAGGAAGTAACAATTTGATGGGAATGTTGATAATGAAATCTCAAAATCTTTGGAACAGTCCTTTAGAGTTGATTGCTTTCATACATAATAGACAATATTGTTTTTCACTTCAAAATAGATTCGAACAATTCGAAGCATATGAAAATATTTTTGGTTTTCTATTTGGCAGTAAAAACTAAGATCACTAGATGTTGGAAATTTGAAAAAATATTGCCTTAATCTTGAATGTTCCTTAAAGCATAATAATCAATTCGATATTGATGATTTAGATTTATTTTCTGAATTAAAAGTATTAAGAAAAATAGTACAATTAGAAGATAATAGTTTAATTGATACACTTAATCAAATAAAGAGATTTAATTCTTTTCCAAATGCCTAAATTGCTTATGGAATAATGTTAATAACTCAAGTTACCGTTGCTTCAGTGGAAAGAAGTTTTCAAAATTAAAATTGAATAAGTCTTACCTAAGAACAACAATGTCACAAGAACGGTTAAGTGAATTAGCTATAATGTCAATTGAGAAATAATTATTAGGAGTTATTGATTATAAGAAAATTAAATAACTTTGTATCTAAGAAAAGCAAAAAAAAAATAGACTTTAAATAATAATAAAACAAAAATAAAGCTAAAGCCCTTCATAAAGTTTGGCCTTAGGCCACAAAATTCGTCGGGCCGCCCCTGCCCTCACGTCAAAGTCAGTGAGGATTTGAGGAAGCAGCTTAGGTCAAAAACATCAAAACTATGATATGCAGAATGAGGAATAGATCAAATCATGAGAAGCGGAGCGCTTGAAGGTACAGATGATAGATCTGTACTTAAACTACTACATTTTTACACTAATTCTAGTTTGAGCTCAACGAATGCAAAAATATTTACGTGACCCATTTAAGGTGAGACTTGGAGGGGTTTAGTGGAGGAGTTGACGAGACTATATGTATCTCCTAATATCAACCCTGATGCCTAGAATATTGTTACATCCCAACAGATCTATGGGGACATTAAAATCAATCCTATGTATATTGTTAGTGCTCATACACAATTTTCAGCACCCATGTAACTTCATCTCCGGCAACTCTTGGTTAGTTTCTTCCTGCAATAGGCAGTAAAACCTTTCAAATACTTGGCATTCCTAAAATTACATACTCGTAAGGTAAAGAAAGAAAAAGGCATAATACCATGAGAACTCCCCACTGCAAAAGGCATGAAGAGGGGCTATTTTGAGGCAGCATTAGAGTAGCTATCCTGTACTGCAACAATCTACAGCCAGCCAGGCGCGTAGTGCAAGTACAATATCCTGCTGTTTTCGTCCTATTCCTACCTTTTTATTACATTTAATTAAAAAAAACAATTGAAGCGTCCAGTTAAGACAGAGGACACAATTCTTTTCTATTCTAAAACAAAAATGGACTTCTATTTTTGGACATCTTAAAGTAATCTCTACATCTAAACCTGTATATTTCACTAGTGAAATTAGAACTGACCTAGTTTTACACTTCCAAACTTCCTCTTCCCCCTTCCAGTGTAAAAAGTATAAATATAAAAAAAACTTACGCCTTCGCCCTCATTTTTTCCACACTTCACATAATTTTTCCACATTTTGTCAAGTTACAGAAGCTACAAAAGACATCAGAACAAAAAGATAATCATCGCACCTGTTGAAGTTCTATGCACAAAGGTGACAATCTCATATATGTACAAACTACCAGATAGTGAAGTTGGTCATGGATCGACAGTGTGAGAAGTTATCAAAGATTAATTCTTCAAGCCCAAGTTCTCCGATGTCAAGCGCAGCATCTGTGTATTAGCCATGCTAGACTGATGATAGAACCCAGAAAATGGGAAGAAATTAAGTATATAGTACAAAATAGTGGTAAAACAAGAAGAGAGGTACAAGGCAAAATGAGCATAAGGTATACCACCTCCTGCAAACTTTTCTTAACACCAAAAGAACTTTGAGCAACTGCTGGCCTAAAATACATTTGCCCCTACAAGAGAGTACAATGATAATCTGATATCAGGAGTAAATGGAACAGCAATAATTGGCAGTATGAATAATTTACTTGAAGGGAAAAGGTTGCTCTTACACTAAGATAGCTTTTGGACTTGGTTTGGGTTTACTCTTTGGAAGATAATAATTTTGGGAAATGTGTTTGGATTATTAAACCCAAAGGTGCGACCTAGTCATCAATGAAGTGAGTTGAGAACCATAAGGTCTTAAGTTCAAATTCCAGCGGAGGCAAAAGGTGAATTCTTCTCATTTGTTCAAGCCTTAGCAAACAGAGACACATAGTTATCAAGTACGTGTGTTGGTGGGATATAGTAGGTCCCACGTGAAATTAGTCGAGGTGTGCGCAAGCTGGCTCGAACACCACAATTATAAAAAGAATGTGTTTGGATTATTAGTTTTGAGAAAAAAGTTTTCGCAAGACAATTATATCTTGGGTTGGAATGTTTTTAAACACTAGAGAAGAGAACTAAAATGTACTTCATGAATTTGATAAACTGTGACTCGGACCCTAAAACGCCACCAAGACCAACACCAAACCCCGAACAAAATTTTGATCTTCTCTAAACAACAGACAGTCAAACTAAACCCACAGAAAAATATAGAAATACAGAAAAAAGATTGTCACATCACGTTGTAGTTATTCCTGGAAAATGGACTTGGATGCTAATTTTCCAGGCAAAATTGCAACATATAAAGTAGGGATTAGAGGGTCATGGTGGTGTATTTAGTTAGTTTTGAGGAAAATGGGTCCAGCAGGTTGTGTTTGATTCACAGTTAACATTTTGGTCTGACTTCAGTAAGGCACAAAATCCATTGGATTTGGTTTTTGAGGTACTTTTCTAAGCGAAATAGGCTATCTACCACTTTAGCAAAGCCACAGGCAATGATATCTTGACACACAACAAATAATATTTTACATATGTATAGATGGTACCAGTACATGGAATGTAGGTTGAGAGAGATAAGGGCAATCTGCAATTGAAGCAATTGTATTCAACTGTCCCTAGAAAAGAACAAAGCCAACCAGGTAGTTAGTTTGAGACAACGCCAGAGATCATAGAATACACAGTGCTTGGAGTAATTAAATTAATCACCAGCCCCGGCATGTTTGGTTGGTTGCCATAAGCTTGGATATTTGTATTCAATTGTCCCTGCACCAAAAGGCAAAAACAGGCTGGATAGTTCGGTTATCCTGATGAACTGAAATGCCACATACACAGCATGCAGATGCACAAATTGTAAGTAGCATTACATACCACTCCTTGAATCATTTGGGGGCTGCTATAGTAGCCATCTGGAGTTGGAAATCTAGCATTTATTTGGCCCTAATATATATTATAGAATTCGAATCACAAAACTAATGATTCTAAATTTACAATACTCCCCATGTTCCATTTATGTGGCACACTTTCAATTTTAAGTTGTTCAAAAAAGAATGAGACTTTTCTATATTTGAAGACAATTTAACTTTAAACTTCCTCTTTTACCCTAACATGCTTTTATAGCGACAGAAATGCCATGGCATGATTAAGACAACAAGTTCCAAAAACTTTCAATTCTTTCTTAAACTCCCTGCGCACTCAAACACTGCCACAAAATGAAACGAAGGGAGTAGCGATTATATTACAAGACACTTGTTATTTAGCTCTCCCCATACAACACTAAAAATTATAAACAAAAATCACCACACCATTGGCTGCATGACTGAATGTGATTGAAAAGGATAATCAACAGTCGGTTCTCTCAAACCTGATTGCCCCTGCAACATATATGGAATATGAATCAACCAATAGTTCTGTCTTAGGTGCACGTAGGTGCATGTAATGATATGATAGAAAATAACCATCTGTTGCCATCTACTGTTTATCCCCACGGATATAATCTTTTGTTCTGTATATACCTAAAATATAAGGACAAACTTAATCAACACTTAATAACTTGCATATGAGAACTAGAAGAAGATCAATAACTTACTACCTTCTCTTTTCTTGCTATGTTCTTTCCGTTACTCTTGCTTGGGTTGTTGCTATCTATAAATACTTGATTTGGGGGAAAACAAGGTTCTAGCTCAATTAAATTTGGATCATTCACAGCCTCACATCTTCTTAGAAAATTTTCCAGCACATTGAAGACAATATTATAACTCTCTTGAGATAGTGACCCTTCATCACCTAGCTCAAATGCCCTTTGACATAGGTCATTATATCGTTGAACCCTCGAATCAACCAAACTTACTTCCCTCGTCTTCTCTCTACTCTTTGCACCTTTAGTCCAGCGACTTAAAATATATTTAGAGGGGATGTTTTGCACACCAGCCATTTGAAGAACTATCATCACGTGTCTACAAAGAAATCCATTGTACTCGAACAAATGACAAGAACATGAAGCATCAGATGTCTTCTCACTCCATACAACAACGAATTCTTGATTTTCTTCAAAGTCATGGACTCTATATGTGGCAGCTGCACCATCATCACTTTCTTTTTTAGGGTGACATGCAACCACTCCCAAAACCTCGACTTGGAATTTCTTGAATATTGTATGAGTGTATAAAGTTGCCATCTGCTTTTCATAAGGGGAGGGAGATTTCAGTCCTGGTTGTTTATGCCTCGTCACAGAATCAAAGCTTGCCTCTTCTTGATATTTCTCTCGCAGCAGTTTCTTATACTGGTCTAGAAACTCCTTCAGTGTCGTCTTGCATAGCATGCACTTGTCTAAAAGAGGGCTCACGCTTTCCGACCGTTGCATTGTAGACATTCCTGCCAAGAAGATATTATTCATGAATGTTGGTACCCACCTTAGGCGGTCTTTGTACAATGATTTAATCCACAAGTCATTCCTCAAATCAAATCTATCAACCACCTTCCACCACCTCTTTTCAAACAATTCATTGGTCGCAGACCTCAAAATGCATTTATTAAATTTGGCGAGAAAATTTTCATGCTGCCTAATGACATGACCAAGCTTCTCCTGGATATTACTCAGTACGTGCCACAAACAAAAGCAATGGCAGGAATCTGGTAAAACATCAGCAATAACTTCTTCCAATGTTTTGTCTTGATCGGTCAGTATAACTTTTGGAGCTTGTCCAGCCATTGCGCTAAGCCATGCTCGCATCAACCAAACAAATGTCGACTTACTCTCATTGGAAATCAGCCCACACCCAAGCAATATGGACTGACAATGATGATTAACACCAATAAAAGGAACAAACCGCAACTTATAATCATTTTTTATATATGTAGTGTCAACAAGAACTACGTCACTGAAGTTACTATAGTCAATCCTTCCTTTAGCATCAACCCAAAATGCATTTCTCAAGCGTTGCTCTTGATTCAAATCCATTGCATAAAAGAAGTTTGGATTTTCATCTTGCATGTAAAGAAAATGCTCAAGCATAACTTGTGCATCTCCCTCATCTAAAGCCAAAGATTGAGGACTACTATTTGTGCCAACATTATTTTGCTTCTCAACTTTCTTCATCACACCAGATTGCCTAGACATTGTCGCATAAGTCTTTTTCGTCCTCCCACAGATAGAATGAAATGCATCTGCACCATTCTTACCCAAATCAGTGTTCCTATGACCTCGAAGGTAGTTGGTCCAATCTGGAAATATCTCGTGGTTATGCTCTTTGACAAAAGTACAAATAATCCACCTTCCATCAGACCTTCTCTTTACATGCAAGCAAGCCTTACAATCTGTTTTTGACCAAGACCTGTTTATTCTACCCTTTTTTCTCCTCACAGGAATACTTCCTGCACCATCGGCACTTGGAACAGGTTCTATAACAGACTTAGAAGGTTCTCGCATACTTCCATACCTACTGCAAACAAATTTTGCATCAATAAACTTTCCAGAAATTCTTGATCGACGGCTAGCCTTTGTTATTGAGGAAAATCCAATGGACTTAGCATATTCTTTGTAAAACGAAAAGGCATCCTCCTTCGAATCGAATTCCATACCATCATGAGGCTCCAAACTCCTATAGCAATTCACGGCCAAAGAATCTGCATTCGGCAATACATAGGCACCATTAGATGTTCCTTCTTTCCAACCAGTTCCTGCATTTACTCTGTCCAGGCAAATACTCTTCGAAACAGTGACAGTAGCTCCATCTGTACCGGAAAGTTCTCCTCTTCCATGTTCAATCCTTATATGTGTATGGTGCCCACAGTCTTCTTTCTCCATGTGATGATCGCTTGATGGATGCTCAAGGTCTATAACCATTGAGGCAAGATGTGTTCCTCCAATCCAGGTAGTCAACCTTGTGCCTGAAAACACGTCCGTTCATAATTGGCCACTATTTTGCCTAACAGAGGTAAATTCTAGTCAATTCATCCGCAAATTATAAGTTTTTGTTTTTACTTGAGAAAGAAAAGATTCATCCAATAAATACGGTTTCTGAAACATTATGTCGAAGCACAGCAACATAGGTCTCAGGTGTGCATTGTAAGTAATATTCACGAAAGACAAAGGAACAATATTAGAGCTTGAGTGTTTAAAATTACACTTGCAAAGATTATTCACGTGTTTATGGAAGGCCAATGTTGTTATTTTACGATGGCAGAAGAGGGCAGATTTTTCAGGCTTCATAAGGGTCACAAGAAAACAACTTAATCTCCACTAGTCCTCCACTCTTTGCAAACCATTCTACTTTTTCTGCAAAGTGCAGGATATTTACTTAAAGGATATAGGCTCATATTGTCAAAATGTACCTAATATAATAATATCTTCACACATTTGATGTACCTACTGATGACACCATGCTCAAGTGAAGGAAGCTGAAAGGTTTCCAAGTTTCGTGGAAAACCAAAATTGAAGTAGTCTTATTGGATTAAAAATAATGCCCCATATAGCTTTTGTACGGGTGGCACCCACCAGGTCCCTTCAAAATATACAGAGAGAGGGGAAAAGGAGAGAGAAATATAACTAACCTTCTCTATAATCCATTTAAAAGTGTGCCAAATGGGCAAAACGACTTCCATCACTTATGGGCAAAACGACTTCCACCACTTATGGGCAAAAGTCATTTTGCTTACAATTATCTGACTTTTAACTTCATATTACTTGCTCAACTAACACTTGGACATTACTATTAATCTCTAGTACTCAAAAATTTCACCGTAACACTCTTTTTTGATTTACTAATATTATTATTAAATTTTAATATATACTTTCTTCGAAACATATTCTCACCTCACTAACTAACAGCCTGTTTGGATGGTTGTTCCCCGTTGTATCGTATTGTATTGTTATCCCAACAATGTTTGTTTTGATTGTTTCATTAAAATTGGTTGTATTGTATTGTTAAATTCATTGTTTCGGAACAATGAAAAGTCCCCTTTTTTGAAACAACCGATTTGGTGTGGTGGGATTGTTTCCTATTTTACTTTTCAATTATGCCCTAACTTATTACTCCACAATTTTATTTTACCCTTTACCTTTTTTTCTATTTTAACTCCAAATCTCCAACCTATAACCTACTTTGTTTTTTTCCAGAACTTCCGCCGCCAACGTTAAAGGTGTTTTGCCGCCTTCTGTTTTATTTTTTCTCCTAATTTGCTTTTAACTCAATTCTAATTAGTTGTACTCCTTTATTTTGCCTTCTTATGTCTCACTCCTTTATCTGATTTGCTTTTAACTCAATTCTAGTTAGTTGTGCTCTTTTATTTTGCCTTCTTCTGTCTCGCTCCTTTGTTCTGCTTTCTTAAGGTGTTTTGCCTTCTTCTGTTTTGTTTTTTAAATTATTTTTATGCATAATTCCTGATAAATTTAACATTTAAACAATTGAGGGTATTTTAGTCAACTTATCAGTTACAGTACAGTAAGATACAGTCAAACTAAACAGCAAAATATTATTTAACAATAACAAACAATACAATCTATCCAAACATTGTATTTATAAAAAGATATGATACAATACAATACAATATGAAACGACGTGGAACAATGATCCAAACAGAGTGTAAACATTTTCCATTAAAGTGACTTCCGTCGTACCAAATGCACTTAATTAAAAGTTCTCAAATTGCCATATCATATAAAATTACAAAAAGAAATTCACCTTTAACAGAACATGCAAGCAAATAAGCAAGACTTATAAAAAGCATTCTCATGTAGACATCACACACATGTATCAGCTAAGTAGTTTTGGCACATACAAATGCGGAAACAAAAATAACCAAAAATGACAACTTTCAATATGAAAAGAAAAACATCTACAAAAAAAATAAATGTGTGCCTGTACAAATACGGTCTGAAATACGAGTAGTTATTCATGAAAATACATGTAGGGAAGTAGGGAATTTACAGTGCTAGTAGAGAATTGTGATGATCACAGCAAAGAAGAATGACGAGTATAGAGAGTACAGTTTTTGCCAATTCAAATGATTAGGGCTCGAAATTGGTGCGCTGTACTCGCGTTTCTGAGTGTGTTCCCTCTTTCCATACTCGCGGCTTCATGTGGGCTAAAATTCCTCCTCCGACCCAATGGGCTTACTCCTAAGCTGTCACATAATTTAGGCCCAAATTCGAAGACAGTAAGATACTTCGAGTTAGCTGAAGTGCACGAATAGCCCCATTTGAGGCCACTATTTATATTTTGTCCATATTTAAAAAAGAAAAAAATGGAAATATAAGCTACACAACCGAAATAAAATGAAATATATGCTACCGCTGGTCATAAATTTTTTGTAGTGTCTTACAACTTTAACCGGCTGTATGGGTTAAAATCTGACCACTAGTGGATTACTATTAAGGGGAACAGTAAGGGATCGACCAAGCCATGGACGTACCCGTAAGGCGAAATGCCAACGAGCGTCTCGGCCACGGCCGAGATCGAGCCATCAAGAAGGCTTGCACAGCAGAATATATGCGGTCGTGCTTGAGCAAGTAAAGAGGAAGATAGTCAAAAAGGGGTATGCAGGTCAAAGACCATTGGATAAAGGGGAAGTTGGGAAGTAAATATATGGAGGATAATGTAGAAAGAGGGGGATCCCAGAAAAAGAAAAGCAACAGAAGGCTTGGAGGAGACCTCTGAGTAACAAAGCAAGAAGTCTAGATTACAGGTTACAAACCTTGGTAAACACCATGGTTGAGTGAATAAAGCTAGATCTCATAGTTATCAACGAGATTCCCTCTTTATCTTCTTTGCTTCACAAATACAGAACAATATCCAAGATGTAAGCTTATCATTTACGTTTGAAGTCTTTTAATCATTCTGAGAAATTTTACATAAACTCAACCTCGTTTGATTCTAGTATCCAATATGCTTAGATCTAAAGTTGATTATGTTTGGCTATGATTTACTCTCTATTTTATCATTAATTGATTTAACTGAAAGGTTCAACACTTTTTGGTCAAACAATTTGGCGCCGTCTGTAGGAAATTTCTTAGCCAAATTCTTTAGTTTCCTTTAGATCTAGAACCAGTCAAGTATTACTTCTAGACTGTTACAACCTCATCTCCTCGGTAACAACGCCAACTCAAAAAGAATGTTAGATAAGTTTTTGAGATAATTGTACCAATCTTGGTCAGATCCCTACACAAAATAGAAATCACGACTGATATATATACGAGACCCATGCCTCACCTGTAACGATGGGTTTGGAAGGTCATATGTATGTTAGAAGTAGAACCACGGTCACTATGCGCTTAGCATGACCGCAATCCCATGCGATGTATTCACCTTGTATACCGACTTGTACTTCCACCCCTTATGAAGGGATGATAGCCTACTGCGTAACCTTTTGAAATAGCAGGCACACCCTGCCTTATTATTGTATCACGCACACTGGATGATTTATGAACAAAGTATAACATGTTTCCCTTATTGTTTGCGCATATCGGACTGGGACTCGGACTCGGCGTCCCAACGGGTGAGGTAAGCCCAACTCGTGAGAAGTTTAGACAAGATTAAATGGCGAAGCCAAACATGGCTGCCAAATCAGAAACCACTATTCGAGTACGAGGCGAAGCGAGTAACCCTACAGCGGCGCTCCTCCTTTTACCGACTTGGCAGGCCGAGGTAACAGACGATTTCATTTGGGTTTATCTTATCACCCTTTTGTTGGCTCGAAACAAGAACACGAGCACTCGCATAGGTACGCGAGCAAAGGACGAACGCCGCCAAAACACCCCAAGAAAAGGTTCTGTACCGTGCCATCTCGCGAATAATGACCGAGCAAAACCCGCTAAGCCGCACCGTATTACAAATAACAGAAATGGCTCGGTACAGGTTGATTATTGAAAAACAATCTCCAATGAAAGCAAAATTAAGCACACTGGGACTCGCCCACGAAACACGCGATATTCTCCAATGAAAGCAAAATTAAGCACACTGGGACTCGCCCATGAAATACGTGGCATTCTCCAAATGAAAGTGAAATTAAGAAAAACAGGACTTGCCCCGACGCACGCATAAACAACACGGCGGCGAGTAATGTTCCTCAATAGAAATAACACAACGGGTTACAATTTCTACCTCGCAAATTAACACCCCTACGGCCATCGGCCTTCGTCAAAAGAGAAGTTCGACTTCTCTCGAATTCACAACGGGTTACAATTTCGACCTCGCTCGAATTAACACCCTTACGGGCATCGGTCATCGCCATATGAAAGGAAAGTTCGACCTCCCTCGAAGTCGTAACATGTTATAATTTCAACCTTGCTCGAAATAACACCCCTACGGCCATCGACCTTCGCAAAAGAGAAGTTCGACTTCTCTCGAATTCACAACGGGTTACAATTTCGACTTCGCTCGAATTAACACCCTTACGACCATCGGCCATCGCCATATGAAAGGAAAGTTCGACCTCACTCGAATTCGTAACGGGTTATAATTTCAATCTTGCTCGAAATAACACCCTTACGGCCATCGGCCATCGCCATATGAAAAGAAGGTTCGACCTCGCCCAAATTCAAAACGGGTTATAATTTCGACCGTGCTCGAAATAACACCCCTACGGCCATCGGCCTTCGCCAAAAGAGAAGTTTGACTTCCCTCGAGTTTACAATTGGTTATAATTTTGACCTTGCTCGAATTAACACCCTTACGGCCATCGGCCACCGCCTGGTAAAAGTAAAAATTTGCCCACCCGAATCAACAGATCAAATTTCGACCCCGTTCGAATATATAAGTCAGAAATTGACTCTGCCCAAATGGTGACTCCAAGTTCGATCACGCACGAGTATATAAGTCAAACTTCCGCCCAAGTTGGCAACTCCAAGTTCGACCTCGCTCGAATATATACGGAAAAATTGACTTCGCCTAAATTGGTAAGTCCGAATTCAATCCCGCTCGAGTATACAAGTCAAAGCTGACTTCGCCCAAGATGGCGAATTTAAATTCGACCTCGTCTGAGTTAAGGTTGGTTCCGCCTGAGTCGTCAAATCAGAAGTCAACTTCGCCCAAACTCGCAAGTTGGATTCACAATTAAAAGGGTAAGGGACTCATCACAATGAAAGTCGAAAGATACACAAATGAAGGCGAAACAATTATTTTATTCAAATATACGTGTGTGACAGTCGTACCCCACAAAAGGCCGAAACGGACCCTCAGGAAAAGATGAAAGTAAACAACAAATGAACAAAAAAAACTAAGTACAAAGGTTGCAGCAAAAGCTTCACTCAGCATCATCCCCACCGTCGTTCTCCCCAACATCATTGTCATCATCAGAAGGAACTCATCCTCGTTATCAACGCCCTCACCAGCCTCTAGCGTCGCAGGGTCGTAACCGCAGGTAGTGCGAGCCTCGCGTGCCTTCGCCCGAGCATCTTCAAAGGTGGCCTCTAGAACATTCCCCGCCTCCCACAAACCCTTATATATATATATATCTCGCTGGACCTCGGCGTGGACTCATAGCTCATACAAACGGCGGGGGACCGCGGCAGAGGCAGATTCGACCTGGGCCAACAGTTGTTCCTTCTCGGCGTCGAGTGCCACGACCCGGTCTCCCAAGCTCGAAGCCTCCGGGCCAATTTCACCAATACGCTCCTCTAGTCGAGCATCCCTCAGCGTGGCCATTGCCATCTCAGATTCTTGCTCAGATTGGAGGACGCGGATAGTGTCCTCCAGCGCCTCCGCTCTCGCCAAAGCCGACGTCTGAGCCTTCTCGACACTTTCTATCTCGGCTACTTTTTTTTCTAGCTCGGCCAACTTCCCCATCCATTCTGCGCTCAAAGCTTCGACTCTGGTAGCAGTTTTCTCAAGTTCGGCTTGCAGATACAACACATTCGCATGAAGGTCCTCGCACTCCGCGGCAATCCCTTTGCCCACCTCGAGTTCCTCATCTTTGGTACGGAGCAGCTCCTCGAGCTCGCTGCATCTGCGGATAGACTGCACCAACTCCTGATCTCTTTTCTCCAACTCCTCCCTGATGGATTGGGTGCCGGTACCCGCCTTGAGCCGCTCGTGCATCTCACGGCACTTGTTGCGATACCGCCGATACTTTTCAAGCATTTTCAAAAAAATCTCGGCCCGTGTCTCGGCCCTACGAGCGCTCTCGACCTCCAACATGTAAGACTGAAAACAAAAAGAGAGAAGAAGAAGAAGAAAGAGAAGAAAGGAGTTAGTAAAGACAAAGGTCACAAAGCAAAAAAAACAAAAAACAAAAAACAAAATAGAACTCACCCTTTGGCCCACCACGGCCACACCGCGCGACAACTCGCAGTCGTTGACATCCTGAAGAGCTCTTCTTTCTGCGGAAGAGCATAGAAGGTAAAACTGCGGCACAAAATCCACCGTGTCTTGCAGCAAGTTGAGATCCGATGGAATTTCGAGTATTCGGGAAGGGCCTCCCACTCTCACTACAGTTTGGGTAAAGCCTTCCTCGAACATCCTTACGTCCTTAGGATCAATGTCGGATTTAGACTCATAATCATCAACCATGATGCCCTTCCCGCTCTCATCGGCCGAAGAAGGGGTGTGGTTCGGCCGAGATGTCGAAGGTCCGCCCAAAACAGCAACGGCAGCCTCGGGACTCCGTCTTTCCACCACACCCGCCTCTTAATCGCTCAAAACAGGCGTAGCCCCCACGGTTGGGTTGGCACCACTGCCGGTTTCGGGCACCGCCAAGGCAAGGTCGCCTCTCGAAGATGTTTCGGCCGGAGGAGTCTCTTCCAACATCACCCGTCGTCTCTTAGAAGGGGCCTCTCCACTACCATCGCGGGAAGATTCGCCCGTCGAACGGACTGCGAGAATTGGAGTCTCTGGCTGAGGAGTGGCCTCAGCACGCACGACTTCGGCCGCGGGCGCAGATCAAGCAGTAGCTCTCGGCAGGCCGGACGAGGGGCACCGACTGAAGGAATGCGAGCGGAGGAGCCCTCGTCCTTCGCGCTCTCCGACCTGCCAACAAGAAAAGGTTAGATCATATAACAACAAGGCTAAACTATGAGGTAAGGAATAAAGAGAAACTGCAGCAGGCCGACTCACTAGTA